TGTTAGATAGGAGGTGGGGACCACAGTAGTTATGTGAGTCCAAATTTTATTATGTTTTTGAGTGTTATATATGCTGTTTTATGTTTTGCCGCCCTATAAGGGCATAGTTGTCTTTGTACTGTTCTATTATTTTAGTATAAATAATAAGTGAAGGGGGCAGCCAGATTTAGCTCTCTTTTCTTTCCAATTTCTCTTCTTCTCTTCTTCCCCTTCTCTCTTCCTTCTCTCTTTAAGAAACTACTTTTCTTTGATATTTTTTAATTCAGCAGATTTCTACTCTATATTATCAACCTCACACCAGGGGCCATTGCTTGGTGTACTGCTAAAATCTCAGACTGATAAGTGTGAGAATGAGGGTTTTGGTCTGAGAGTAGCTGCTTCATGTAAAAATGCTGGAGGTTAGGTCCATATCCAGTCTACCCCTCCCAATGCAGAAAGGAGGAAGAGTGTGGTGAGGCTTGGGGTTTGAGATATTCTCATATAAAAAGGCTTTGTAGCAGTCTTTTTGGATATAAAACATACATTAGATTGGAGGGTTTGAAATAACTATTTTTTTTTTAAATAACTATGTTAAAACAATATAATTTAATCCAAAAGAGAAATAACATGTCTTGAAAATTTCCATCCAGGGTAGGTTTGTGAGAACAAAATGTTATGCCATGATTCAGGTTGGATTTGCTTGAAGGATTCAATTAGGTGAAATCATTATTTTTTGTTCAACTAAGGTTTATAGGAGCTTTATCCATGATGCATTGCTTTATATTAGAGGTGAAATCGTGGGTGCAGGTACAATGACTTAATTTTGGTGTTAACTATAAACAGGGTTTCCACATGGTTGAATTGGGAATTGAAGTCATAGATGGATGTCATGTACCAAGAAGCTTGTTGTTTTTAAAGTTCAGCATGAACAGAAATTGAGGGAAAAGGATAGATGGTTTTATGTCAGTCAATTAGTCAAGTTCAACGAGGGATAGCTATTCCAGAAGTATAATGGTGGTTTTGTGGTAAATTTGGCACCACAGTACTTGTTTAATTGAGAAAAGGGTAAAGAAATGAAGTTCCACTTTTCATGGGTTTCTCTTGCCCACAAGACTTTTTTTTTTTTTGCCTTCTTTTTCTTTTGGTGCTTTTGGAAAGCTTGTACTTGGAGTAATTGAATTTTTGAACATTCCTACAAATGCATAGTAAGAGGATGGCAAACTCAAGAAACAAACAGGTGTTTCAACTAGTGGTCCTCTCCCCTCCCAAGGCTTAGTCAAACTTTGTTTTGATTGTTGTTCCTTTACGCTGTGTTTGTTTGAAGAAAAAAGTAGGCAAAGGAAGGGAAAGATAGGGAAACCTTTACAAACCTTGTATAGGTTTCCCTACCTTTTCCTTCAAACCAAACATAGCCTTAGGAGCTCAGGCCGAGTTTGGGGAGGTGGGGCGGGGTGTTCAGAGATTTCAGATGATGAGTTATGATTGCTTACCTTGGACCAGCTGGACATGGGACCTATAGTTAGAGCAGAGCTTTTGGCCTTGCTACAAGGCCTAAGGTTGATGCACTCACTAAGTTCCAACAGAGTGATTGTAGAGGGAGAAACATGGATTTTTATTGGTTGGTACGAGCAACGTTTTCAAAATGATGAATGCAACTAAAAGAACAAAGAGGTTGCTACTTGCTAGTTGCTAGAGCCTGAGGAGTGAAATGTCACTTTTGAGGGGGGGAAAACAAAAGAAAAACTTGATAAACACGAATATGCAAATCTAAATTCTGAATGAAATAAAATATTTCAAACATTCTTTGGTTCAATTGGTTAAGATAGAGCCGTAGAGGGCCATTACACGATGCTGGTCTCTGCTACTTGGAGTCTTGAGAGGTACAGTCTCCTTTCAAATTTTGGTGAATGGTAGTACAACCAGAACCTTTAAACAATCAAGGGGTATAAGGCAGGGGGACCCCTTAACACCATACATATATGTCCTTTGTGCTGAGCACTTCACTAGACAATTCTGTAAAGAAATAGGGGTCACAGTGTTAAGAGTCACCCTCTTGAAATCAATAGCAAGAAATTTGCCACAATTTGTTTTCATCTCCTTGAGCCTCCCAAAAGAAAATCTCAAAGAGATTAATAGAACTCAAAGAAACTTTCTTTGGGGAAAGAACCCTATGAAAAAGGAGTTCCCTCTATTTAAATGGGAATATGTCACAAATCCAACTCAGTTGGGAGGGCTTGGGATGAGAGATACGAGAAAAGCCAATTCGGCTAACATCGCGAAGCTTGGATGGAGTCTCATCTCGAGAGAAAATAGCCTATAGGCTGAAGTCATTAGGAAGAAGTACACTAAGGATAGAAATTTCTGGGTTCTGAAACCAAGTAATTAAAACGGCTTCATGGGCATGCATGGAAGGGAATCTTGGCAAATAGAGAAATTCTTCAGAAAGGTCTGTCTTGGGAGATAGGATCAGGGGACAAAATAAACCTTCTGAATGACAATTGGCTCAAATCAGAGCCAATTATTAAATGGTTAAATAGAGATAGGCTCAACAATAGAAAATAGCCTAATTGGATTCCCAAAGATATAAGAGAGGAAATAAAGGCAATTCCGATTCAGACAACTCTAGTGGAGGACAGGATTAGATGGGACCTGGAGCCAAAAGGAAAATTTTCAGTTAAATCAGTGTATCAAGGATTAGATGGAACTTGGAGCCAAAAGGAAAAATTCGATAACAAATGGGGTATTCCCAAACCCCATTG